CACGGGAAGATGCTGCGGGGGGGCGGCCACGGGAAGATGCTGCGGGCACCCGCCCCCCCTGCCACCCCCGCCCTGCCGGGTGAGCGGAGCTCGCTCAGACCGAACGCTTGGTTTGCTGGACGGCTGCTCCACTGAAGACGACCCTACCTTAGAGCACAAAGCGCTGTGAATGTGCTGTTGAAGAGGAAGCTCTTTTTCAGAAAAGACAGGCCCTGACTCGCCCGGTGCTTCATCTCGAGCAGGAGCCGCGGGAGGTGCTGCGGGCAGGCAAGTTCAGTCACCCTTTGCAGTTCCCTCCCCTCGGGCTCCTCTGCTCGCAGCCAGGAGTGCGGTGGAAGGGTGGTGAAAGGGTACATCCCTTCTCACCAACCTGCTGCCCAAGAATTCGCCCACCCCCTGCTGGAACGTCCTACCTGCCTCCACAGGCAGCGTGTGCCCACCAGCTCCAACGTTCGCTTTCGGCTACATGAAAAAATACGCACCCCCTGCAGGCAAGGCCGGGCGAGTATCAGTTCCGTGCTCACCCCACCCCTCACCCCCCGCAGCTTCCGAGCTGCCCTCCCGCACCCTGCTCCCCTCCCAGCCAGCCACGGCCTGCCCGGCTCTCCCCAGCATTAAGCATCTCCTCGTTAGGCGTTTCCTCTGCATCCCCCACTGGTTCCCTAGCTTTTCCCTGCACGTTCGCTCACACCTTTTGGAGATGCAGGTGCTAATTCAGAGCCACAAAGGCTGTCATCACTTCAAGACCTTCCTGCCCCAGTGCCCTTCCTGCCACTGAGCCGCCCACCCGCTGGCCGTGACCCTCCCACCCGTGACACACACCCACCCCCACAGTGCCAAACCCACTGCAAACAGCAAGTCCAGAAGCTGAACTGCTTCTCTATTCGTGACACTGAGACTACGGACTGATTCCTAAGCCACGTATGAGAGGAACAGGCAACACGGCTGCTTCCACAGGACACCTGCAGCCCCTTCCCCCCGGAGCACCGGGCAGCAACCCGCAGGGCTCTGCCTCAGGCCAGGCCAGCACCCGGGGCACCTGAGGTGGCTGGTGCTGTCACACCAGGACAAGGAAGGCTTCACAGCAGCAGGAGCTGCCCAACATGCTATGCACAAAGCAGCACAGCAGCCAACACAGCCCAACAGTAACACCATCATTTGTCAACAAGCCTTTCTCCCCCCTCTCTGAAACCAAACATTTAGTAACGCCAAGAAGACCTCCTCACCTTGAGGAGCTGCTGCTCCTCCCTCTCCCCAGGCAGCAGCCTGAGGCTGCTGCTTGGGAAGAAACACCAGCAATGCAAAAACCTTTTCTGCCATTTTATCGTGTCCTGCACAGCAAGCTGGGTTGGCATTTAGAGCTGAACACAACTTACCACTAGGTGAACACTAAACACAAACCTGACAGGAGAGTAGCAAAGCAAACAAAGGATTTCCAACAGGATCAGCTTAAGCTGCTTCATTCCCCATTTTCAGTTTTACTACATGCCTTTTTCCTTCAGAGAAAACCCCTCTCCAGAGGGGTGTGTAAGCGGCTGGAGCTGCAGCTGTGCAGCAGAGCTCACACAAAGGCACCTCCACACAACATGGCCACGAGCAAGAGGGAGGGGAGATGCAGACACCAGCCCCCTGGCAACACAGACATGGTCAGGACTGTCTTCCCATCAGTTTCATTCTCTGCTTCTACCATCAGCAGGACATGAACAGCTGCAACCATGTTCCAAATGTCTCCTTTCTATTTCACACCTTAAGAAAGAATTATGTTACATCATTCCCCCCATGAAAGTTTTAATCAACTATTCATCTGAAGGACTTCTGTTCCCAGAAACAGCCTGATTTGTCCCTTTTTACTTACTTTACTAGCTACATCCTTACTGTACAACTGGAGTGAGCTACTGATCACACTGGAGGGAAAATACACATAACACATTTTGTTCTCTAACTTGTGTGCAAAGCTCATTCACTAAAGGATTTACAGCAGAATATGTGCATGTTAGAGCAGAACAAGAGCACCAACCTACAACTGAAGACTGTTTTAGTGTATTACTTCAGTGAGTACTTTTATAGGTAAATGGACAGGTATAAAATACACACACACAGCTTTTTTAAGCCAAGCAGTGAACTGATGCTTACCAGGAAGGTGTGATGCTCCAAGTCTCTGGAACACAGGAACAAGCTGCTTCCTTGAGATCTGAAGACACCAAAACTTGCAGTCTCCAGCAATGCTTCTGTTGTTTTGTTTCTCCTAACACCTAGACCTGACCAGAGGCAGATATACACAGGGGTAAGACAGTGAAGCCAATGTCTGCAGACGCTGTGCTGACTGCTCCAGCAGCTGATTCTCAACAGTCAGTTGCTTCACACACACGATACCAAACTGGACCAACAGCCCAGCACACAGCCAAGCACTGCTTAGAGATACCAGTAGTGCAAAGCCAAATCAGTGGGGCCACTAACAGCACCAGAATCACCCTTTTCTACAATAAAATGTCAAAACTGTTGCTAGAGAAGCAGTTAGAAGGCTGACACTGCTCTGTTACTGGCTCACTGAACTTACCTTTCTCCCTTGTGTTAAGAAAAAAAGTGCTGCTGCATTTAGTTACACTGTAACAACATCTACAGCAAAAAAATATTTCAACAAAACTGCAGTTTAATTTCAGAAAAGGTGTTAAAATATATATATATTTATACATCAATTTGACACGCTGCGTTAGTTTACACAAATGATGGTCTCTCTTGAAACTGTATTTATGAAATGTACATTTTTAATTTAAATACTCAGTATACACTGCACTTAATCTGCATGTTGCATTTATTAAATACATTAAAATCTGCAATGTAACAAAATGTTTTCTGCATACGAAATTCAAAACACCATTTTAAATGAACAAAAGATGGCTCACTTCATTTATTTTTTTAAACAACTAGTGCATTGTACACTAGCTCAGCTCCACCGACACCAGCTGTTCTTTCTTTTTTATTTGACATTGTTCACAGACTATTACATATTACAATAAGAGTGCTGGATAAAAACATGAGGTACGAAAGTGGTTCAAAGATTATAGGTCATGCAGATCATGCTAGACAGCAAAGAAAGTTGTGAATGAGAAAACACGAAATAAAAATACATAAAGAATGTGCATTATAAAATAAAATAAAAAAAACAAACCTCAATTACACAGCTTTGCTTCTTTGGTTACAAAGTAGGTTGAACAATTTCACAGCTTTTTATTCCCACCCAAAAAAAAAATATACGAAATGTCAAAAAGCAGAGGAATCATGGCAATTTCTATTAGAAAGTAGAAACAGAAATGAGCAAAGTTTTCTTCATCAAAATAGCCCATCAATTATTTATTATATCACAAGAACTGGTGACTACCTGTACAGATGCACTATGGTCTTCATACTTACACTCTATACAAAATTTACATTCAAGCTGGATCTTTACTACCGTAAATAAATACCAAAGGTAAATTGCCATTAGTGTTAGAAATATGCCAGGATTCTTTTGTTCAATTATTGCCTAAACGTTTTCTCTATTAAATGCAATCCCATCTATAATTTTACTGATACATACATTTATTTAAAAAAAAAAATTAAAAAAGTTCTGTGACATTGTTCATGTACATTATGAAAATAGCAGCCCTGTAATAAATAAAACAAATAAATGAAACTAATGTAGGCAAACGTTACTTATATTGAAAGAACAGTGGCTCTTCAGATGAATTGTTACTTCTTACCAGATAGCAAGGCGCAAAGTCATCCACGGGAAATGGAAACCTTGGAGAGCCACCAAAGCTCTTACAAACCTCACTCCTGCACACCAAGCAAAGGCCTCCTGAGCATCAGTGACTCCTGCTGGGACCACCCCGAGCACTGACGGCAGAAGGGACACCCACTGCGCTTGATGAGACACCAGTGAGGACAGCTCTGGTAGAGTGATTGTCTAATACTGAAAAGGCCAAACACACAACAGAAGCATGGCTACTTGCTCTCAGGGCAGCGGGAAGGACGCCGGCGAGGACAGGCTGCTCGGGGGTGTTTCCCAAGGAGGCAGAACAGCTTCAGGCTGAGGAGACATTCGGCTGCTGCGGAGGCTGCGCCGGCTGGGGCGGCTGCGCCAGCGCTGCCTGGGAAGTGCTACTGGGGTTGGCCTGTTGGGCTGAGAGCTGGGACAACTGATCATTGTTTGAAAGAGATTTCAACAGTGCGTTTTCTCGTTCAAGTAAAGAGTTTCTTTCTACTAATTCTTTTATTTGTTCCTTCAGGACTTCCACCTCTTCTCTCACTGCATACATCAAATGGCTTTTCACTAGATCCTGTGAAGAACAAGTTAACGGTTACACCATGTGGAAGAGCAGTTTAATTCCACCCCAGCCCCAGGATTTACTGTTTTACTGCTCTCACTGAACTAAGTGGTGAGCCTGGAAAATTAAAGCAGTGGACACTAACAATGCATCACTAAATTAGCCTCGAAAAACAAAAAACCTAGCTCTTTTATTCACTGTAAAACAGCCCCTACATCAAAAGCTTTGTTTCCAGCATTCAGCAAGAAGTTCTAGTCACCTCGGTTACGCTGAAGACAAGGACTAGAATTACACTTCAGCAATTCAGACTGAAAGCATCAGCTCTGACCTGGAGGTAGGAGCCTGGTTATACCATCCCAAGCATTGAGGTGTATGAGAAACAACAAATCAAGCCTTTTAATCAGCTGAAGCAAAACTCAAACAGATGTAACTTACACTGGTAAAAATGTCAAGGCTGGCACAAGTGACAAGTAAGAAAAACTAGCGATGAACTTTGCTGAAGTAGGAGACTTAAACGTGCTATTTATTTTCAGCACCCCTTTATGTTCAATCAGCTTGTTCACAGAAATTTGTAGGAAAATTCATTTAGGAACACTTCTGGGCCAACAGTTAAGGCAATCATGGCTTGTGGTCACCCCATAGTTGACACAGAAAATCCTTTATCTCAGATGATGGTCCCAGTTTGACCTGACTGGAGGGATGCTACAGACTCAGAAACCAAATACAGCTGGAAAGTTATGCTCAGTGATGAACCTAATCCTATCCTTCTAATCCTATTAGAAATAACTTATTTTTTACTTACCATTGCCTGTTCTATTTTGTTGTCAATGGCAACAACACTTGCACCAGAAGCACTGTAAACATAAGGAAAAAACTTTGTGAGTATCACTGTATCATCAATTAAAACTACGCACCCACTGGCACCTGCAGGACTCCTAGAACATGATCCTCAAGAGGCTAATGCTTCAGATTCAAGAATTCAGCACCCAATCGTGGGGGGCTCCCTCTCCACTGTGTTGCCCAGTACAGTTAGAGCTCTTAAGAGACACTGCTCCTTCAGTTTATAATTCCTCAGACTATGCTTATGACACCCATAACCAGAAAAATGTATGAGAATAAACAGTAAATTAACTGCTTTGATTCCTTGCCTCATATTTCAGCTTTCTTCACTGGGGTAAATAGGGATTCACGGGATACTCACAAGGTCCTTATCTCTAGTTTTATTTCTGCCAAATTGGTTTTATAAAGCAGTGAAGAAAAAAAACACCCTCTTATGATACTTATTCTCTGGCTTTACTTGAAGGCTACTTTCCAGTTAAAGCGTCCCTGGATCAGCATCATATTTACCACTTGCAGCTGAGAGTCCGGCACCACCGAGCCCTGAGCTCACGAGCACACGTCTCTAGTCCCTCACTGGATCCTCCCTGGATCACCATTAACTGCAGCTGGCTGCTGAAAGCCAGGGTCAGCTATGTGCAAAGACACACCAGTGCAGAACAGTTCAAGACAACATCTCAGCCACCACTGTAAGAACGTGTGTTCACCATGCGAAATACCATGTTGGATTTAGTCTTTAAACGCTGAGTTACAGCAACCCAGGCCCTGCTATTTTTGGTCTGTTTTCAAGTCACAATGCAGGAGGCACAAGCCAGTTGCTCACTCCTAAGCCTCTGGAGTCAGGATCTGGGAGCCTGAGGCTGTCCCTGTTCTCTCCAACTGGCAGGGAGGTGCAGCTCTCCCAGGGGGCCCAGCCGGAACAGCAGAGGAGCAAGGTTCCATCCTCAGGCTCTGCTGCCCTGCCACACCAGGTCTCCGGGCTCAGGGCTGACACCAGCCAGCTCCTGCCTGCTGTGATAACCACTGATAACGCTCCCTGGCCACGGAAGCTCCTATCAGCAGTGTGCAGCTACGTTTGAAAAAAGTGAACATAGGAAAAATGGCAGGTTTGCAGGCACGCCGGGAAACCCGCCTGTCTGAACACACGTAACGTGCTGCAACCAAGTGCTCAGGAAAAACCGCTTGAGACACTTGAAAAGTACTACTGGCAATATGCTCAGCAGGGTTAGTTACATATGTGAAGCAAAGCTCAACTACTGAAAGAACACAAGACTACTTGGAGCAATCCATTTTAACAAGTCTCACAAGACCTGTCAGTACCAAGCACCAGGCACCTACAAGGAGAAGGAATCAGCTTTTCAGACTGTGGGAGTGACAGCCTCTATTTCTAAACTGAACAGAGCTTGTAATCTAAAACAAAAGTGCTAAACACCCATTCCACTAGAAATGTCTTGATGTCTTCTGAGCCTCTCAAGCCATATTTTGTGATAAACCGCCCCAGAATACACAGTATTTATAATTCATGACAAAGTTAACTACTCCTTTCTGTCTTGAATTAATGTGTTTTGATCCATCTGAAACTGTCCAAAACATCTGTGTTCAAGTCACTGAAACCCCCACGGCTGCCCCATGTCCCCTTTACAGCCTTTCATGAATACCACTCTAAGAGTCAGGTGAGGCAGCTCTGAAGAGATAAAGCCAAGAGAAGCACAATTAAAGCAAACAGCACACTTTGTAGTGGGATCTGCTCCTGCATCTTTACAGCGTAATTATACTTTGCCAGCTAAGTGAGATTGCCACTTTGTTCTTCCATTCCCGTTTCAACTGCTTTGCAGTGTGATTATTTAAAAATGAAGTCCATTACAGCACTCAAAGTAAAGGCACTTGCTCAGTTCCATGGAAAAGCCTCTCACGTGGGAGGCAGGCAGCCTGCCCGAGGCCAGCCCAGCACTGTGCCACTCGCTGCTGCCGGGGCACCTCTCCCCTCCTGCACCTGTACAAACTGTCCCTCCCGGAAAGGTGATGTCAGTGCAGCCAGAGAAACTGTCACTCTCCCACCCCTATTTTGCACTTAAAGTGGTTCTACTAGACAGTGCTGAAAAGGCGTAAGTAGTTCATACAGCACTTTTCTTTCTTTCAACGTTCTTGCTGCCCTTATCCCTGGAGCAGTGCACGCTGCTCTGAAGCGCTGGTCAGGGCTCCAGCCCCTGCTCCAGTCCCAGTGTCCACCCTGCTTGTCTCCAGCAGGCAGAGCCCAGCACCACACAGGACACGGCCCTCACAGCCCAGGAGGAGTCCCACACTGACAGAGCAGCCTTCTGTTAGTCAGATGTGGTTTTATCCTGATGACCATTTCCTTTCACTTACTAAAAGCACAGGAGAATTCAGCCTAACGCTAGCACAATTCCCACAGTTCTGTCCTTCTTCCCTTGATAGTGCTCCTCACAACACAGAGCTCCTGTGAGCACAAGCAGAGAACTCCAATGCTAGCTGTTCGTACAGTGCAGTCCTAATATGATGCAAAACCCTAAGATGTTGTATTTTTCTCAAATCCTTAGCTGTCAATATCAAATCCCAGTTTACATAAAAGCATTTATCTGTTCAATGACCAGAACAAATTTGATACAATCTGTGAATGCACCATCCACCGTATCCAGTGCCTCAACCTGCAAATTCTCCAGTTAGAAGTGGAAACCCACTACTTGGGTCTTTAAAAAAAACACTGATTGCTATTCTGTGCTGTTAGACAAAGCTGATTGCTCCAGGAACTACAGAAGTCATATTTTATCTGTATTTTTCCAACATGCCTATAATTCAAGGATAGCACTGTAACTTGTTTCAAACATCTTGTAAACAAAGTGAGAGAAGTGTCTTGGGCAATCATGTACATACAGATTTAGAAAATGGGAACAGAACTGATAAGTGCAAGTCTGATTTTTAAGGCATATTGCACAACAGACAGCAATTAAACTTTTCATAATGCATCACATTCTTAAAAGCCTCAGTGTAATCCTGACTTCATCGCTGCAAAACCTTTTCCTATGGGGACACTGTATCCCAAGAGTATGGTAAGATATCATTGGAAAGCTGGTTCAGTACCATCAACAAACTATGATATTGTTTAAAAAAGTGTTTAGTAGCCCTGTTAGCACAACACACACAGCTTCACTGAAAAATGTAGATATTTATAGTGATCAAACAAGTGTTCTATATATAGCATAATTTTGCAGTTCAAGATAGATTACTTACTGCAGACTGCTCCAAATCACAAATCCTACTGCTTTGAATTCAAGTCTACCAACAATGGCTATGTTTTAGGCAAACCCATCTGAAGCCCCTGTGTCACTATTATCACACAAAGGCAATCCAGGCACAGGAGAACAGTCACCCAGACTTGTGTGAATGTGCGAAGAAGCCATTATTTCCCTTTTCAGTTCTCTCAGTAACTGTGCCTGCTGAAGAGAGAGACCCATGAGACTTGTGCCCTTAGTAACAACACCCATGTGAAGATTTCGCAGAAAAACATTTGCAGGCTTCCTAGTATTTCACTAGTATTTAATGCTGTGGGTTTTACCAGCACCCCTCCCTGCCATGATGTGCTAGTGAAAAATAAACAAGTGTTTTACTGGAGCAGTTTAGCAGTCTTTATTGTCTATTGCAATAGCATGTAGTTGGCTTTGCTGACTTCAAGAGGTCCCAAGAGACAGCTGCTCATAGGAGAGTAACCCACAGTTGTTAGAATGCTACAACTGCACAGAAGATTTTCTACATTTATGCTCAAGCCCCTGAGGTTCACAAGCTATTTATGAAGGAGCTGCAACATGTAATTGGCATCTACACGTGCATGATCCTTACGTTTTGCAGTGTGCTGACCCCACATTTTGGGATGGGGAAGTTAGACAAGCTTGTAATTTTTGTGGCAGAGATTTTTCCTTCACAAACCAGAGATGACAAAGAAAGCCCCAAACTGTTGCACCTGTGATGAAACTACTCGTGTTTGATCACAGATCCCAGGGGGTCAGACCCCTGTCCTGCCGCTGCCACCCCCAGCCCTGCCCGATCTCCCCGACCCTCCCTCCTCTGGCTCTTCACTGAGGCTTTCTTGCTGAAAGCTTTTCAGCTTCAGTCACCCAGGAAAGTGAACCTGCATAATGTGATCTTAAAGTCTAGTAACTGGGTGATAAATGCAAAACCTGCTAAGCCTTGTCAAAGACTTCGGAGTTTCAACAGATTAGGAGTTTAAAACTTGCATCAATCCTGATGAATTTGCTTCTATGTTTTTACAAGTACTTGTTTAAAGGAAGAAATTTACATTCTTCTACCAGAATTTAATTTTCTTCTATATCTCATGCTTCCAGTACTTGTTTCAGACAATGTATATAAACCTCAGGTTTGTGAAGCCTTAATCTTAAAAAAAACCCTAAAATAAAAAACTTTAATTAGCTTCCTCATCTTAAGGATTAGTTCAAGTTAAGAGACATGAAAACAGAGAAACAGATGAAGGCTTGACCTTTTAGTCTAGCTACCAAATCTGTATTCAAGGCCCTGAAGTTTATTTCAGTTAAATAATTAAATCCTTGGAACCTAAATACCAACTCTGTCCCATAAATACCAGAAAGTGACATCACCCAGAGCTTAAAGCAAAAATGTAAATTCATACAAGTTTCTGCTAGAAAAGGAAGATGTGCTTTTGAAACTTAGCCTAGTGCCAGCACTTCAGCAAAAAACAGAGCAGGATGCATTAGCATTACTTTTAACTGTCGGTGCTGTACGGTACACAAATTGTTACCAAGCAAACTTCAAAGGATTCAGTTAAGCTTTGCAAGTTGAAAAGCCTCTCAAGTCAAATACAGGCAGTACAAGGATGAAATGGTGATCAATACTTCAATAGCTTCTACAGAGCTTGCTAAGCAGAAGTATTGTGACAAGCCAGAGCACCACAGGCATGAAGTCACTATCACCAGGACTTCAACTTAATGCTGACAAAAAAACCAAACCCCCTTCAAAATCATTAAGG